CCTCATCTTTACACCTGCCCTCAAGATGTTCCTGCGCACACCTCCGCCTCCTCCGTGACACTCGAGTCATTCCAGCCAAATACATCACATCGCAAAAGGAAATTTTACTCTACCACCAACATTACAGACAGTGCACATTACTATGTAAATGTAATTTGTTCTTTCACTGCATTAAATACTGAGATGCATGATTAACATTGTAAGATGACAATGTTAATCAGATGTGATGTAAGCAGAGTAGCATAATTTGTCCTTAGTGATACATGTTTACACCTTTTTGTTTGTAGATTATTTAGTTATTAATTCTCAAAATTGTATTTACAGACAACATAAAAAAGGGGGGGGAAAAACTTTTTTGACCTGTGCAAGAAAAAATAAAATCTCCACATAATCAGAAAACTGTTTTGTCCATCTTCCTGAGAAGACACAACTCTGGCTGTCATATGTTCCTGCCCTTAGTCTTAGTATACCTTCTTTTCTTTAGTGCACATTCCACAATTCAAGCATTCAAACTGAGGAGCAAAAAACAAAAAAACAATACAATTAAGTCAAAAATCAGCAAATTAATACTCTGTTTGCAAACACATGCAACTTCACTGTCTACACTGGTAAACCAAATATTAAAATTAGGTTAGAGATGGTGAGTGTCACATTACCTTCTTTAATAGGTAGAAGAGAAGACCCAGTAAAAACAGTGCAGTCAATATGCTGAGTAGAATGACCCACCATGGGACTCGACTGAGCAAAGCAGGCTTTCTTTCACGAAAAACCGTTAGCTTCACCTATATTAGTCAAATAAATATTATTTCAGTTAGTTTCGTCTAAACATTGCACAATCAAATAAAAAATGGTATAAATGAGTGCTAATCTACAGGACACTTAACCTTATCATTGGATGGCTGCATCCCAATATTCTCCTGAGTCGCATTAAGAGTCAAAAACGCATCCAGTACAATATCCAAGTAGTTCAATGAACTATACTCCTGTAAAGAAAAAAACATCTTGTCAATATTATACCCAAAAATGTATCCAATCTCAAGAGAAGGCAATAGACAAAGCAAACCATTTAAATAAAAAAAAGAGTAAACATTTCATTTGAGTCCTCTTAAAAAAAAAAAAAACTAAGAGGACTGACAAAAATGTAAAAGGTAAAAACTCGATATAGAAGGAACAGTTGGAACAGTTGGAACAAGTTGGTGCCCGGTGGTGTGTTGGCTGCTCGTCTTACTCCATTTTGTTTTATTGTTTTTACTTTTTATGTTGTGTTTACTTCCTTAATATGGCCAGAGAGATAGATAGATACATAAGAATCTGAGAAAAGTGACTGACAACCCACTTGAAAAAAAAA